CTCAAGTGATTGTCGTTTGTTCTTCTAACAGTTGATAGTAAACATCACGTCTTAAGTGACTGTCGCTAGTTCTTCTCACAGCTGATTGTAAACATCACTTCTCAAGTGACTGTTTTTAGTTCTTCTCACAGCTGATGGTAAACATCACGTGTCAAGTGACTGTCTTTGGTTCTTCTAACAGTTGATGGTAAACATCACTTGTCAAGTGACTATATTTAGTTCTTCTAACAGCTAATGGTAAACATCACGTGTCAAGTGTCTATCTTTAGTTCTTCTAACAGTTGATGGCAAACATCACGTCTTAAGTGACAGTATTTAGTTCTTCTCACAGATGATGGTAATCATCACGTCTCAAGTGACTGTCTTTAGTTCTTCCAAAAGCTGATGGTAAACGTCACGTCTCAAGTGACTGTCTTTAGTTCTTCTCACAGCTGATGGTAAACATCACGTCTTAAGTGACTGTCTTTAGTTCACCTCACAGCTTATGGTAAACGTCACGTCTCAAGTGACTGTCTTTAGTTCTTCTAACAGTTGATGGTAAACATCACGTGTGAAGTGACTATCTTTAGTTCTTCTAACAGTTGATGGTAAACATCGTGTCTGAAGTGACTGTCTTTAGTTCTTCTCACAGCTGATGGTAAACGTCACGTCTTAAGTGACTGTTTTTAGTTCTTCTCACAGCTGATGGTAAACATCACGTCTTAAGTGATTGTCGTTAGTTCTTCTCACAGCTGATGGTAAACATCACTTCTCAAGTGACTGTCTTTAATTCTTCTAACAGGTGATCGTAAACATCAAATCTTAAGTGACTGTCTTTAGTTCTTCTATCAGCTGATAGTAAACATCATGTGTCAAGTGACTATCGTTAGTTTTTCTAACAGTTGATGGTAAACATAACGCCTCAAGTGATTGTCGTTTGTTCTTCTAACATTTGATAGTAAACATCACGTCTTAAGTGACTGTCGCTAGATCTTCTCACAGCTGATTGTAAATATCACGTCTCAAGTGACTGTTTTTAGTTCTTCTAACAGTTAATGGCAAACATCACGTCTCAAGTGACTCTCTTTAGTTCTTCTAGCAGTTGATGGTAAACATCACGTCTCAAGTGACTGTCTTTAGTTCTTCTCACAGCTGATGATAAACGTCACGTCTCAAGTGACTATCTTTAGTTCTTCAAACAGTTGATGGTAAACATCACGTCTTCAATTACCATCAGCTGAGTGAAGAACTAAAGACTGTCACTTAAGACGTGATGTTTACCATCAACTGTTTGAAGAACTAAAGATAGTCACTTGACGCGTGATTTTTACCATTAGCTGTTAAAAGAACTAAAGATAGTCACTTGACAAGTGATGTTTACAATCAACTGTTAGAAGAACTAAGAATAACCACTTGACAAGCGATGTTTACCATCAACTGTTAGAAGAACTATAGACAATCACTTGAGACGTGATGTTTACCATCGAAAGTTTAGAAGAACTGAAGACAGTCACTTGAGACGTGATGTTTACCATCAACTGTTAGAAGAACTAAAGATAGTAACTTGAGACGTGATGTTTACCATCAACTGTTAGAAGAACAAAAG